TAGCGAAACCTCTCATCAAAACAAGATTTAAAAGAAAAAGGCCTCCTGTGAATTTTAAGTATCCTTGGAGGTTCAGGTAGGTGGATATGCAAAAGTATGTATTTTCATGGCTAAGGGCAGAAAGCAGACTTAGGTACAGAGATGAAATTACAGAAACAAAGCTTACAATTTTAAATCTCAGATGCAATATATTCTCATGTTTCCTCAACTTTATATGATGATCAGACTGCTCCTGATATTTAAAATGGGGAAATTCTGTATAAAATAAAGGAAATTAAATTAAAGGACAAAGTAATCTCTTTAAAGAGATGAGTTCTGTGAAAACGTAAAGGGGGAAGCAAATTGAAGATGAGGATAGTAATCCAATTTTGAAAGACTAATAGATAATGACCTGTAACATTCATCTCTTTGGCAGGATAGACCCCTGAGATACTCCACTTGTGAAAGGCATCAAGGTAGAGTACAACCAATTAACCACAAGACTCAGAGCCCCATTATGTAGCCAGCTTTCTACCTATTTAGTTGTCCATCCATTCAGAATGTAGTGTTCTAACTCTGATACAGAAGTATTATGGGACACACTGTGGAGACATTGCCAGTGTCACGGTAAATTATGTTCACTGCTCTCCCTGTGTTGACAAATCTAGTTTTATCATGGAAGGCAAACAGGTTGGTCAGGGATAATTTAGCTTTTGTAAATCCATGCTGACTGTTCTTAATTACCTTCTCCTTCATGCGACCAGAAATGTGTTCCAGAAGCTCTTGCTACATGTTTTTGCAAAGAACAGAAGAAAAGCTGACCAGCATATGGTTTTCTGGCTTTTGCGGTCTATTTTAAAGGTGGGTGCAACATTTGTCTTTCTCCAAGCACCTGTGACCTGCCCCAATTTCCTTGCACTTTCAGAGATAATAGTGATTGGCCTTTACAAGGACTATGTATTCTGGACTTGTATGGGACAAGTTGTCTCAAAGAATCCTTGATTCAATCCTTGTCCACTTTTGGTAGTTCTCCTTGAACCCCTTCATTAAAGACAGAGGCTTGAGAAACCCTGGTGAAGACTAAGGCAAAGGAGGCATTGAGCATCTCAGTCTTATCTGTCACTAAATCAATTATCCATCCCATTCAGCAATGGGACACATTTTCCTTGGTCAGCCTTTTACTACTAATGAAGTGGTAGAAGCTCTTATTGTCCTTGTTATCTCTTTCAAGTCTCATTTCAAGTTGAGTGTTGGTCTTCCTGACAACATTCCTTACATGTTCAAGCAATGTTTCTAAATTCTTCCTTTCTAGCCTGCTACTAGATACTTCCACGTCCTACGTACTCTTTTTTTTTTTTGCATCAAAGCTCTACTATAATTTCCTTGGTTAGCCAAACAAGTCCCTTGATAAATTGTCTTTTTTCTTCCTGTTCTTGCATGTGGACAATGCTGACTTTAAGACTTGCCATCTTTCCAGACCTGCCTTGACCTCCACAAATGTATGTGGAGGGATCCATGGGATCCTACCTATCAGCTTTCTGAACAAGCTAAAATCTGCACTCCTGAAGTTTGTACTCTGCTACTCTCCATCCTCACTTCCCTTAAGATCTCGAACTCCGCTATTTCATAGTAATTATGGTCAAAGGTGCCATTACTACGTGCAAAACCAATTCTTGATTGCTAATGAATAGCATATCCATCTGTGTGTCACTCTAAGTTGGTTCATCCTGTATTAACCAGTTCCCCCCCTACCCTTCAGAAATCTTGACTGCATGCATCCCACTTTGTTGCACTTGCAGAGGATGTCAGAAAGGTCTTTAGGATCCCCATGAGAACCAGAGTTTGTGATCCAGACACTTCCTCATACTGTTTAAAGAATGTTTCTTCCTTTGCCTCACCCTGAATGGGTGGTCTGTAACAAACTCTCATCATAATGTCACTCTTACTGGATTCTCCTCTCATCCTGTCCTGGAAGTTATCAACAACACTGTCATCCAACCCATTGAAGAGCTCCACACATCTCAGCTGCTCCTTCACAGAGAAGGCAACACACCTTCCTTGGTTTTTTTGCCTATCTTTCCCAAGGAACTTGTATCTGTCCATCACAGCACTTCTGTCATGCAGTGCAAGCTGTCTCACCAAATCTCATTTACTCCAGTGACATCATAGTTTTTCGATTGAATGTCGAGTAATTTCTACTGCAGGTTACCCAAACTGTAAGCATTTGTGAACGTATTTAATTGAGATGGGTGCTTCTATTTTCTCTCTCATCTTGTGACCCTGCACCCTTTTCTTTTGACCTCATCCACCACCACTCCACTTAAATGTGCATTGTAATCTCCCTCCCACATAATTCTTAAAGAAATCTTTTCATGCCTCCTTTTACAGCCAACATTGCAGATGCATCCAGCTCTTATTAAGAAGCATACTTATGTGTATACCCTAATGTAAATCTGATATCCTAATTAAGCTGCTATCAGTGAAGATCCTGACATGTGTGATACCCTCAACGTCATATTCATAGCACGAGACTGATTAAAAAGAAGCATAAAGTTCAAGATCATAACAAGGATGTGTCTAAATCTTTCAGGTGCACTATAGACAGTGTTTTTCTACACTTCCAAATTAAATATATTTGCATATTTTTTCCCTTAAATATTAATTTAAATCTATAGTCAGACGGTCTTGTTATACTAAAAACTGTTATAACAATTCCTATTTTTAGAAAGCTGTATCAGTGTTTGTATGCTGAATTCTATCATTCCGACCTTCCTAACAAAACATTGTCTAAACCAAGAAAAAACAGAAACAAACACAATAAATCAACTGATTTAAAATGAAAATGCAATTTATTAAAGTGACAGGAATATAGATTTTTTTTTTCCACTCCAACTAAACCAAAATGTTTTATTTCAGAACATTTCTATTAAAGTCAAAGATCAGAAAGGCACTTGAATTATTTCAAGCATAAACAACAAAAGTTATATACTCAGAAAATCCCCTTATAGCATCCATATATAAAACCAGAGAAACATCTAACTGAAATTATTAAGAACTATGATCCTCTGCATTACATCTAAGCCTTTTCCTCCATGCTCAAAAGAAAAAGCTTTCTCAAAACTGTTGATTTATTACCCATATCTCTCAAAATCTTATCCAGAAACTCCTTCAAGATATTCTTAGTCTTCATTTTGCTTTTAATAATTTAAAATTCAATCATTATTGCACAGCGATTATATGCAATTTTACATCTCATTAACCCTGCTTTGTTTTAATTATAAAGATCCTTTGTTAGATTCCTTTAAATGATCCAGTTTATAATTTCAGGTTATCCTAGGGAGCACTTTAATTCAGCTACACATTCATCAACTGTTTATGTCCTGTTAATTGTTGACAACCGCACAATTGCATTCTCTAGCTATGATTGATGAATTGCATTCACAAGTTTAGCTATTAAGCAGAATAAATATTTATAGCAATTTCCAGTTAAAGGATTGTTATCTTTATACCCAAAAGGGTAAATTAAAAACAAATGGGCTGATTGCAAAGGAGAGCATTCTAGTAATGCGCACACACTTGGTTCTAAACCACCTTTCTGAAAAAAGTATATGGAGGAACATGTGTCTAAGGGCAGTTTGATTAGACATTCCTTTGGATTTAAGCAGCAGTTCTTAAATACTACTTTGTTTTGAAGAGTTATTTTTAGAAGGGAGTAGGGGGTCCACTAATACCTGACCACTAAAACTATACAGATGTAGGATTTGTTCAGAATGAGCATTTTATCAATAGTGAGCATGAAATAATATCTGAACTTACTACGCTGGCTGAGAAAATAAAAAAGGTCAAAATGGCATTGTATTACTATCCAAGAACATAAGCTTACTATAAATATTCAGTCTATTACCATGTAATATTTATTGCATAATGTGCAGTACATGACCCACTAAAGTAAGCCCTATTATGGTGTAAACTCATATTGCCACTTCGTAGTAAGAAGAATTTCCAGTGAAAGGACTAAATTTCCAAATGCTATATTGCAGTGTTACTCCAGTGTGCACAGGGAATCTAAGAATATTTACACCAGCCAAAAACTGGGTAATAAGCTACATGCTGCTGTTTTCTAAACTTGGTTTTAAATGAATGCATGATTTAAAGATGGAAATAGCTAGACAAAAAAATATACTATAATAAAGAGAAGATCTGATACTTTGGTAATGACATGCCATTGGTGAAAAAAAGAAACCATACATACATAAAATGAACATCTCTTCAACAGGCATACTGCTTTTTTTTTTTTTTTTTTCCCAGCTGCACATATCAAGACATCTGTATTCAAATGGATTTACTGTATTGGCCAGTACAAGTCACACACATTACCCACGTGGCTCCATTTGTCTTTGTCATTCCACTACTAGGAAGGCCAAAGAGTCCCCCTTTGCTTCCCAGCTTGCTGGCTGGAAGTACTGACAAACATTGCACAGCGTAGAAGATAGATATAGCATTAAAATAACCTGAGGATTGATAAGAAAGTATCTTAACAATTTGCAAAAGCAAGGCAGCTCTTATAAACATAATATCCTGTGTGTTTTACAGGTCTCAGATTGGACCAGAAAGTCTAGATGAAATAATTCCTCATGAAATGATAGTATAGAGAAGTGCATCTGTACATTGAATGCTGTGCTTCTAAAACAGATGGAGCAGCAGATGGGTTTACAGATTGGGATCCCTGGACTGTCTGGGTAAAACAACCTTCCTGCTCTGGAAACCGGTCGTTCAATTCTCAAATAATCCAAAACCTCTAACAGTTCATGGGAGCTGTATTTCCTTCTTCCAATAAACAAAATTTTCAGAATTTACACATTTCTAAATTAAATATTTACTATATATAGCAACTATACAATAAATCTCTTAATTAAAATGCCTTTTTCACAATCTTTTTGGAACAGATGGTGAGGAAGTATTATCACCCAATGGAATAAATGCAAAATGACTACTTGTTCAAAAGCTTTAAAATTAATTACCTTCCTTCATTGATGAGCTCAATAAATGCAAGTCCTGCATTCTTCTGAATAGAATTTTGCCATTCCTAAGAAAATAAAATACATCATGATCAAAACTCAAGGATTTTAAACCACATTTCTGAAGCCGACCCTGATGACTTCCTAAGGAGTTTGAATTTAGGCTGAACTTCTTCATGCTTTGCTTTTTTTTTTTTTTTTTTTTTTTTTTTTTTTAGAATGACCTGCTCAATTAAAAAAGTGTAACTCATTCTGATTTTCAAACAAATTTTAGAAGGTCATGTTTTCTGTTTCACCCTTAAGCAAGCTTTGGATTCCTTGTCTAGAGAAGAAATCACATCTAATTTCTGCAATTCATACAGTTGCCCAATGAACATATTAAGTGCAACAAAGTGAGGCCGCAGTAGTTTCTTCACATTTCTTCACTGTTACAGCCTGTACATTTTATCAAATAGGGAAGGTGATAATCTGTGTACTGTCCATCCCTCTTTGAGTTCGATCTTTGTTTCTTCTTCATTATAAGTGAAAACAAAAACAGTAGCTAATGACAAACTGAGGTTTTAAAATTCTTTTACTATTAACATGGATTTCCACGATAAACTTTCAAAACTGATTTAAACCACCTAATAGATATTAAAAGATAACAACTTTTACTTCACATATCACTAAATCCAAGAGAAAATTCTCAATGCATCACAAAGAGCTTTTAGCCATTCAACCCACTGTGTTTATCATACCAACAGACTTGATACTTGAGATGGAGAAAGGCTGAGATATCTCCCAGTTACTTTCTTGGGGCTAATTCCTTAAAATTTTTTAGAGTAATAATAATTTCCTTTTCATCATACAGGAAAAAAAAAAAAAGAAAATGCATTAGCTGGATTACAGTTCAGAGACATTTTCTATTCTAAGACTTCACGCTATAAACAAAAATGCATAGAGAGAGTTAGTGTTACAGAACTATAACGATTTTTTTTTCTTTTTTTTTTTTTTTCAAGACTAAAAGATCAGGCAGAAACTCCCAATGTTTTTTTCCTGATATGGGCAAAAAAAGAAGATAGCTTTGCACAGATAAAAAATTTTTCTCAATGAATAGTTGTGAAAACTAGTCACTAATCAGCAAGGTGCTTCTTACTAATCCTATGAATATTCACAGATTTGACCAAGTGATGCATCTTAAAAAAACCCTCAACAACAACAATCTTGTACACATGATTGATTTTATGAGAGACAAGCTACTAAAATACCAAATAATGAATATAGTTTTAACCCATTACTGAGCAGGTAGGTCCTGATTAGGGAATACAGAGTATCAGCACTCAAACCTTGAGCTTGTGGGCTAGAAAATCATTGTAACATGCTCTTTCTTCAGTGCTGATGATTGTGTTCTTTTCTAAATCCAGTAACTGAAGTGAGCCTAATGATCTAATTTTTGGAAACAATTAAATCACATTGGTATAGTACAAATTCACTCTGAGAAATTAAGAAGGAAAGGATTCAGTTGCCGAAACATGGGCATCTAGTGCCATTTTTAAAAACAGTAATCTGGTTTAGAGATAGTATCTGAGGTGTAGCATTATTTTATATATATATATATATATATAAATCACAGCCTTTTACTGTACACTACAAAATCCCCTATTAGCATTTTCTTTTGAGGTGCTTTTCTGCTCCACAGCTGCTGACCTTGCAGTCAGGAAAGCAGAACTGGTGTGACTATGATTCAGGAAAGAAGCTGAAAAGATAGAAGCAGAGGAAAAAAAAACCTGGCTTCCTAAAACAGCTGGAGCATGCTAATTAACTTTTTAAAGAGAGACAGAGTGTCTACCTGTGCCTGTAAAAGACCAAGAAGTCCTTTGTCAGATCTTCCTGCTCACTGCAAATGTCTCACATACTGCAGGACATCCAAAATGTCTAACTGGATTTTAGATGAGAGATCTTAAGGTACTTAAAGAGTCATTAGTATCTATGTGGAAACAAACACATCTCTCCTTAGGTCTCCATAGGTGGAAAATCTCATCCATTTATCCAAAATAATTATTCATTATAAAAATGTGTGAAACCTGCCCAATTATCTATGCAAAACTAGTGGTAAATGATGCAGAACCAGAAAGAACCTGGATTCATGGTTCATGCACTGCTTCACTATAAATTTGCTACTAAAAACTTCAGTACAAACTCCCAATCCTCCATTAATCCACAAACAAGGGAATAATTATTACTACAATCTCCCCTCAGTTTTAGGCATAATTTAAGAGATTCACAAGGCTGAGAGGTGAACTGCACTTGAGAAGAGGCACCTGGTTTTCTTTTTTCCACCAAAGACCCAAACAATATACTGAAATACGTAGAAATTCCAACATTACAGTTGCCTTTGTAATGGCCATTCAGGTCACTGCATGCACTTTAAGAACTGGATTAAGTTGTGGAGTTATATGCTCAAAGAATGTGCACGATTTTGTTTATATTATCTTAGATTCGACAGAAAAATCTTTCTCACACTCAAGAGGCAAGAAGCAGAAAGATAAACTCCAAATGTAATGGATGTAGTAACGGTGGTTGGAAAATTTATGCTATAGGCAAGTAGAATCATGGCATAGACATGCAGTTATTAGCAGCTAAGTGCTTGAATGACTACACTACATCTCAGGTGGTTTTAGTGTAGTTTATATCCTGAATCTTCTGGGCCTTAAAACAAGAGCTGAGAGAAATTTCTGTGCCTCAAAAATGCTGATGACAATTACATGCGAAAGTAATGGAAGACCGTATACCAGATAATTTCTTCTATACAAGAGGAATGCATCGACCTTTCTTCCCCTGGGGGTCCTGCTTGAGAGGGCAGGGGGGATGATTATTGCTGCCAGCAGTGCACCTCTCAGAACAAGGTAGGGTATAGAAGACATGGAGATAGAGGCACATTTAGAGACTAACACAAGCAGTGTTTAAGAATGATATCACTTACTACTACTTTGTACTGAAAACAGAATGAAGATATCAAATTTCATTTTTAACTTTATTCATGTTGAAACAAATTTAAAAGTTGTCTTCATACACAATAATGAACATTATAACTTTAGACAGTCAGTTCAATTACTGTCCAGTATGGTTATGTTCTAAATATTTTATATTATGCAAACTTTTATTGAAGACATCAAAAATGTACTAAACTATTAGGATATTGGTAATTGCCACCTCCCTGACCCCACCCTATTGTCGTCCTCCTCTATTCCATTGCTGCTTGAGAAGCATCACTGCATCCAGAAAGCATCAGTACATGTTCCCTGACAGAAGGTTCAGACTGAATCCAGTTATGAAACTGTCCATGCAGAGGAGGCAGGAGATGAACAGAACTGGGATGAAGGGTCTGGAGCACAAGTCGTATGAGGAGCGGCTGAGGGAACTGGGGGTGTTTAGTCTGGAGAAGAGGAGGCTGAGGGGAGACCTCATCGCCCTCTACAGCTCCCTGAAAGGAGGTTGCAGAGAGCTGGGGATGAGTCTCTTCAGCCTAGTAGAAAGTGACAGGACAAGAGGTAATGGCTTCAAGTTGCGCCAGGGAAAGTTTAGACTAGATATTAAGAAGTATTTCTTTCCAGAAGGGGTTGTTAGGCGTTGGAATGTGCTGCCCAGGGAGGTGGTGGAGTCCCCATCCCTGGAGGTGTTCAAGAGTAGGGTCGATTTAGAGCTTAAGGATATGCTGTAGGTGGGAACAGTGCTAGGCAAACGGTTGGACTAGATGATCTCCAGGATACTTTCCACCCTAGATGATTCTGTGATTCTGAGAGTAAAGGCTAAAAATTCTAAATAACAAACCATAATACAGTACAGATATTACTTGTGAAATTCAGTTGTTTGGGTTTTTTTTAATATTTTTCTTACTCTCTGATATCCTTACAACTTCTAGTTTTCAGTTAACCTACCTAGTCCCATTTCTTTAAAATTCTCTAATCCCCAGTACACTTAAAAAAAAAAAAAAAAAAAAAAAAAAAAAAGAGGCCAGAGTATTAACAAATTTAACATGTAAAATCGATACAGAAAATTTGCACAGGTAAAAAAGAGTAGTGAAAGAGAAAAAAAGGAACAACTAGGCTTGGCATGCTAAGAACATTTTTTCCAAATCAACTTTGGTTTACCATTTAAAAATTTTTATTCATAATCATTAGAAAATTTCTTTTTAAATATATTGTGATATTAAAAATTAAATAATAAATCTGACAGAATATCTTTATATAAAAAAGAAATAATCATTTCTCAGTTTTCATAATTTACATGACAGCTCTCTCCCTTTTCACTTTCTCCAAGGAAGTCTAAAATTGTGTCACACACAAATTACAAGTTTCTCAACAAACTGCAGTTACTGAATGGACAGATACCTGGTGTAGTAATCATCCCACAATTCTTCTTGCTGCTTTGGCAATTCTCTCTTCCTCATGTCTTAAACTAATCTATTTCTTTTCCTTTTGACATACTGAATATTTACTGTATTTTCTAGTCTAAGATATTAACTCAGTTGATAGCTCAGTTCCTCAATCACTGTATTTTAATCCTAACTTTGTGAGACAGATGAAATTCTATTATATTGACTCTCTTCTTTCTAGACCCTTGAATATGTTTGGAGAAAAAAGTCTTGTATGGAGCTAAACAGGTGCTACCTTTTATCAGAAGAAGGAAGAGGAAATTTTATAAAAATGTGTTTGCAATTCACAACATGCATGTAATTTAGCCTGGGTTTGAACTCCATGTTGTGAAGTTACCTTCTAAAATCATCAATAACTTGCTTTGTTTCATTGAAGGGGAAACATTCAAAGGAAATGTTACAAGATTGAAGGAAATCTTTATAGAAGAAAACCATGTCTGTTAGAAGTAGGTAAAAACAGAAAACCCAACTGATTTCAAGATACAGCCTCATAAATTTTTGAGCAGATTACTCATAAATTTCTGAGAAGATTATAGAGTTTTTAAGATCTGGACTGTCCCTACCATTCCTAGAATAATTTATCTAAAGATACTGGAGTCTTTAATCCTTCCATTATTGTTTGGAATGAGAATCAGATCTAAGAACTCAAATTTC